AAAAAAAAAAAAATTGGATTTACGTACAGAATATGAATGTGTGGTTAAAAATAAGAGCTTGTTTGGGAGAGATTTTTGGGGGAAGAATTGATTTTGAATAGTGATATGATGTGAAATGCATGGTTGAAAAAGAAGAAAAAATTATTGATGTGATGGAAAATATTATTTTATTGAAGAATGTGTGGTTGAAAATGAGAATTGATTTACTGTAAAAAAAATCTAAATCCCTCCCAAAACAGGGTCGCAATGTTAGCTTAGGGTCCAGAGAGCTGGATTCACAAAGAAGCCCCAAGTACCAATCATAAAGAAGGATTAACACGAAACAAGAAGTAATTTGAAATTATCATCCAGATAGTCTGCCGGAGAAAATAGTAATAACTTATACTGACACAACAGCATTATTCATTTACACATATCAAGGCAATTTAACTGTGCATAGGCTCACACATGCATACACATTCAATGTCAGGGATAAGCATAAAAGTGAATATCTTATCTGCTCAAAATAACACAGATGGATTTGATAAAAGTATATGACTTCAGTAACCTAATTGAAAAACATACAGGTTAAGAGTGCCAACCTTATTCCGGAAAATAAAAAAGAAAGAAAATGTCAACCTTGTGACGTTCCTCTCAGTTTCCCCACAGCTATAAACTCCAGTATCCTTTCCTTGACATCAGTTAATCCGTAATGGTCTACATCGAGAATATTTTGTGCTCGTATTACATCAAAGTTCTCGTCACTGCATAATTGAAGAAAAAAAATGTTTAGCAGGTACCAGATTACCATTACCAGTTATTTAAAATGAGAAAACTCCACTCAGTTATGAAAATAAAACACCAGCAAACATCAAAAAATATGAATCAGACAATTGTATACATGACAAATGTACAAACAAAAACTTCCAAGTCAAATCAATATTCTATCTTCAGGAACTTGAATCCTAAACGGAGAATCACTCCCAATTTTACAAGTGAAAAACAAAAAACAAAAAAAAAACGATCAGCAGTACTCAAATGCTTTAGATAAGTTTTCCATAATAAATTAAAATCAACAAAAGCAGTGCTCGAGTGTTAATATAACAAAGACACCAGAATCAGTGTGATGAGAATGCCAAAAGCATCAAATTCATGACGTCTTCAACTTTTCTTTCCAGCCTCATTTGACTTTCAGGCTTAATAAGAGAGAAAAATCTCAGCATAGCTATTTGAAGGGGATGAAAAACAATAGGCATTATTATCTTCACAAAACATAACAGTTCACATGTTGTGTAGGTGGTCTACATTCTGTTCTGCATTTCTTTTTTTCATTTTTCTTCTTCAAGGTGGAGAGTATCCTGCTGAAAATGCTGCTGGTCAGAAATGGAAAGAATTCACTATTGAGCATTATTTTAGAAATCATCAATAGAACTAGTGATAGTGATCATGTGAGAAATTGCAGGCCTCAGAAGTTCATGCAATCTAAGATTAAATATTTGGCCAACAAAGGGTAAACACTCTGCTTAATATGTCTAGAGGCTAGAAATCCAAGATGAAAGCAAGAGGCTTGGAAAGTAGCCTATCAACTAGCTTTAATGGTTGAAGAAAGGCTAAATAAAAGGCACGAACCATGCCTGGAAAAGAAAGGCAGCCTAACTGATTACCTTTGCCGCTCTAAAAATTAAATTTGCCATCCTTTGACTCTTCCTCCCTTCCCTAATGAAAGAGTCCATGGCCAGTGCTAATAAAGTTTTGAGTCACAGCCAGTAATGCCTCTTTGAGAACCAATTTTCCATTAAAAAAAAAACCCTGTCTTCTTGCCCTATTTGCAAGCAGAAAGGTGAGCACCTACAACATCATTGTTCATCATCTCCTTTCAACTGGATGAGTGAACTCCACCTACCTGTGCTGGATTGCTTGGATTCGAGGATGTTTGGCTAAGCTTAAGAGTTCTTTCAACTCCACCTACCTATGCTGGATAGTTATGGATTCGAGGATGTTTGACTAAGCTTGCTATCAATACACTAATGACCTGTCACGTATACAGTAGTCCCATTAGTTAAGTGTTGAAAACTAACGAAATACATATTATGCCTAGCGCTGCACTGTCATGGGTCATGAAATATGGTTATTATTGGTTACTGCTTTAGAGGGGGTATTGTCTTTCCTGAATCATCAATTACTAAACTTGGATTTTGTGCAGCAGTAAGGATGGTAAACACTTGCACATGTTGCATTTGGACTGAAGATGATGAAGGCAACAAGAGGATCCAAGGGAATCAAGTTTAAAGGGAGAGTTTTGAAAAGCATAAAAGCTCTCTAAAGATACTTATATCCTAGAACAACTATCATCAAGTTCTTTCAATCTCTAAAACAGTTACCAGCTGATTTTTCCTTTTTACGTACACTTCCAAATCGGGTATATTTGTAATTTCCAGAAATTCTAGGTTATATTCTTTAAAGACCAAGTCATTAATTTTCTAATACAAAGCATTAAGGCTAGTTTTGCAGGTGATCAAATTTACACATAAGAGTTCAGAGTCCAACTAGTCTAGAATATCTCAAGTCTGTATAAAATAGAAAGCTAGTGCATCAAAAGATTCAACACTGACTCAAAATTCTAGATACAATGGGAGAGAAACGGAAGAAAGGTGCCAAATAATGAAATGCGAACTGTTTTATGAGATGATGAAAACTACATACCTGTATTCACCCCAAGGCAGTGCAGTCAACCAATCAAGATAATTACGAGTCACATTAAATTCACTTGAACTAGCTTCCAATAATTGCAATTTTGTCAATTCTTCTTCTATGACTTGCAAAACATGAGGTGGGATTTTCTCCTTCTTTGGGTCAAGCCTTTCCCTGAACTTTGCTGCAGTATTTCAGAAACCAATGCCAATGAACATGAGATCCCTGTTTGGGGAGTAAATGTAGTGAAAACAGGGCAATCGACTGCGTCAACATCAGGCACTCTTAAACCTCAAGCAAAAATCACGTGAAATTGAAAAATACAGATCAAGATTTGCTAAATAGCAACAAATTTCAACTTAACACTGCCTCTGTTTGAGCTCCGTTTTTAGTTTAAAAAAAAAAGGAATTTTGTAATAGTAATTTTTGGAGAATGTATAGTTAAAAAGTAAGTAAAGTTTTGGGTTTACGTGTAAAATTATTTTATTGGGAGAATGTATGGCTAAAAATGAATTTGAGAAAAAATGAATTTTTAGATAATGGGGTTCAAACAGAGGCACAATTTCATACCTAGCTCCAGCGACAAAATATTAGTCATGGCTTAATCAAGATAAAAAATTAATAACTGACACCAATTTAAAGCAGATTTTTAGCAATAAAGAAAAATAACAAACTGATTTTAATGCAGAAATTATGTTGCTGATATTCTAGGACCAGTTACTAGAAAAAAAATTTATGTTCACAGCATTCTTCTGGCCTAATGAGAAATGCGCACGCGCGCGCGCGCGCACACACAACCCATATACAAATCACTTATATAATATCACACATGTCCATCTCAGCCTATAAAATTCCATCAAGGCATATCCATAGAAGTAGGAACAGATTCCAACCAAAGAAAAGAAGGGTTGTAAGGGGGGGAAACCAGAGAAACTCAAAAGAGATTTGTTACTGTTTTAATCGCGTTCTCTGTGCCACTTGAAATTCCTTTATTATGCCCTCACTAAATTACCAACATAAAGTAACGTGTGCAAGTCCCCAAAGAACTCAGACAAAAAGGGCAGTATGCACGAGAGGCACAATTTAACCCATCACAAGACAATTTTTTGTAGCAAACGTGTCTTGCACATCAAGCATGTGTACTCAAGTTATGAGCACAGTATCTTCAAACATCATCATACATCCATCCCTTCCCAAAACAAAACAAGGGAACGAGCAAATTACAAGAGAAAAATCATTGAAAACATATCAAATGATATTGCCTTGTCATCACATTCGCAATATACCAAAAATATTATTATCAGAATCATGCCTAATGTCAGCTGGACCATTATTCCCCAGATGCTGACATTTGTTTTTAAAGTGCATGCTGACGAGTTAATGCCACAAGACCAGATAAAAAAAAGATAGCAAATGCCAAAAACAATGACCTGTTCAGTAAATTATTGTCTAAATAAAAGAAAAAATTAAGTCCAAAGAAAGAGAAGCATACATCATATTGGAATTGAGATGACTCATATTTTTCAGTAAATCATCATATAGCTAACAGGGATGCAGCGGAACACTTTTTTAAGACTAAAAAGGGACTTGTTAACTAACATGACATTTGCCGTAAAAACCTAACTAAAATGGAAAAATAAGTAGTCCAAACTCAAAATAAAAATTCAGTATCAAAAGCATGTATGTCCTCGTGGAGAAAACAAAACTCTATTTTAAGTTATTTGGTCAGAAAAGGAATGAATTTATGCACTAACACAAATGAATTGCTTGTATAAAAGTTCTCTTTTCTTCAATTTTGGCCTCGAAGCCAAAACTGTTCTGTGTTTGAGAAAAATAGATATTTAAACATATGTATATTCCGTGTCACCATAGATTCTAAAAGGAGAAAACAGAAAGATAGTTACAAAAGGCTTGATATTATGTACCCAACAATTGTAAATCATGAGGCATCCAACTAGATAGCGTGAATTAGTACTGCTAAGCATTCAGTAGGTTCAAATGTTTTAGGTATAATGCAAGTACTAACACAGCTCTTAAAATTACAACAAAGCAACAGAGATATAATTTAGAACCCCAACTGTAAATTATGTAGAAGAAGGCATACCAGAAAGAGCGGTTTTGTCATCAGTCTCTAATCCCAATTCCTGCACAATGCAAATAAATTTGTTATCGGATAATTCCCAAATCATCTCATGACATCTAAACTATTCAAAAAAGACATAAATCAAGAACAGAGTCTTCCATGACTCTTAGAAAATGTATATTATAAAGCAAGTAAATCTTATACTAAAGAAACATGCCTTCTTTATGGCCTTGAGTTGCTCATTCAACAAGTATCGTCGCTGCTCTCCACTTATCTTTTCTTCAATCGCCTTTGCTATTGATTCCTAAATACCGCCAAAAAGCGGTGAAGATTAAATGAACAGGGAACAGCACTTGAGAGTGCTAGAATTGATTTCCAGTCCAGACAGCCATACCTGGATCTTACTAATCTCCATCTCCTTCTTCACTAACTCCAGAGTAAGTTTTAGTCGTTGATGAACCTGAATTTCAAGATCGTGATGAGCATCAGAAATATGAAAGGTAGAAACTTTGACGGGGTAATACGGTCTTATTACAAGAAAGCAACAACCCTCAGCTCCAGGCCCAAAGTGTGGGGACAAAATGAATGTCCTTTTTGACATATAGTCAACTATTTTCTAAGAATGAAATAAAACATCTTTGTCCCGAGCACCTTGAACAAGCAACTCGTGATAAAATAATAATTAATTCCATAACAGGGCAAAATTTATATTCTAGCTTTCCTTTCTATGGTACAAAATTTTCTAGCTTTCTACCATTTCAAATTAGGAAATTCATCAAGGGACAAGGGATGCATTTAGTTCATAACAAATCCTTAAAAAATAGATTATTTAATCTTGTATCAATTCCGAGATCTTATAAGACTACAAGATGCAGAAACCCACAGAGGCGATGCTAAGACCGAAAGTTACAATGTTACTCTTCTAGGTAGAATTGTAGGCAGGGTTCTAGAAAGATAGAAGCTCAATGTTCGTTCTCAGAAAAATGTAGTCGATGAGGCTGTAGACCACTTACATCTAGTTCTTCGAGAACTTGCTGGCACAGTGATTTGTTTGCACCTGATATAGCAGCTCCAAAATCTGCTAATCTTGGATAATTAAAATCACCTATATGCTGCAGATATTGAGAAGTGAGGAGGTAGAATGGATACTACATGTAGACAAAACTAATCGAAAAAACTTCACCAACTTCAATTGTGATATTATCTGGTTCAATTTAGGTGATAGATTCCTTTGTTATGTAAAAGTACAACATTCTTGTGATAAAAGGGATGTTACACTGTTGTTCTTCATAAGTACAAAAAATGCAATATTTTTATGCATGAATTTAGTGAATCAAATATCTTAAAACAAAAATCTTTCATGAGCATGATCACGGTCTATTTTTTGAAAAGCATATGCAGTTAGTAACATATATGACCTCAGACCTCATAAACAGCAAAAGAAAGGAATCAAAATAATCAGTTATGTGCATTCAGGCATACAAGTGCATTTTAGGCATGTATGTCAAAAACTTCAACTGTATTAGGAACATGATGTGTAAAACTATCTGCACAACTCCATTCCAATTAAAATATTTTGGAAGCATTCAAAAACAAAGGCTGGAGAATTGACCTAGTACAACACCTCAGTGTGAATTCAAAGTAGTGATTCTGTCACTAGAATAGACCTTTTATATCAAATTTAAACAAAGCTAAGCGTTTGCACTCATACAAACGCAAAAAAAAAAAATCAGAACGAAAAATTATACCTGAGTATAAGTTTGTACATGATCCCGCCAAAGCGAACTAATTTTCAAAACATCTCTAAGAGTTGATATAACTTCAAATGACGTTGCCTTAAGAACATCGTCATCCTTATCATGAGGCTTTTCCTGAAAGACATAAGAACAGAAGTCCTCAGAAGTTCATTTTATAAATTCGGATTATTATATGAAGTATTCACGTGAGAAAACTGCACACACCTTGAGATGATCGACCTTGACCGTAAGAGGATCCTCACTGACCTGCACAAGACAATTATTTCAGTTGTGCATCTGTCACACAGATGAAGATGGATATAGCTATTAATTTGCAAATATATACCAACAGCATGGAAAAATTCTTCTAAAGGTATATAAATAAGTAGCAAAAATATTTGAGAGGTAATTGAAGGAGATGAAAATATAAAGAAACAAGAGCAGAACTTCATATCTAGAAAAATCATGAATGAAGAAAGAGTCCAACAAACCATCTCAGATATTCGAAGTCGCCTGTGACCAATAAGAACCACCTGATCTCCTTGGATGCTTGTAATCTGAGATCATCAAGCCAGCTTGATGAATCAAAGAAGTTTTTTACCACAGATATATAACTTCAAACAATAACTTAAAGAAAATAAAGGAAAGAGAATTACCTGAGCTAGCGTACCAACTTCATGAAGGCGATTAAATAACTCTTTTCCTTTGAGATCGTATATATTTTTCTCATCTTTACCCTCAGTTACTGCCTCATCTTTAAGTAGGAAAGCACCAGCATAAGGGGCTTGCCGTTTTCTACTCTCTACTAAAGCTTCTAACAATTTTGGATCCTACAGAGAAGGGTACGTACAAGAAGGGTCGCAGATCAGCTCTCTAGTTACTAAGTAAACGAGTAGAGTTTATTTACCTTCATCTTATGTAAGATATAAAAACACCATTTAAAAAAAAAAAGCTTTCAAACTTTTCACCACTTCTTTCATGTATCAAAAGAAATTCTAAAATTCAGACAAGAACTATTTGTAAAAAGCTAAAAGCTAAAGCAAGCAGATAGGATATAAAAGACAAATTACAAAGAGCAATCCATGTTGCTTGTGATACTACTTTTGAAATTTCATTTCAAGTCTATAAATGTGAAATACAAACTAGAAATCTTTATAACTACAATACCAAATTAACAAAAACGATATAAAGGACCCTCTTTTGCTTTAAAGGATCTGAGAAGGATCCCTTGTCGTGTGTCAGATATAGGTAATTTCTCTCAAATGGAGAGTCCGAGCAACAAAAAGTGCAAATAAGCATGTTCAAAGTTGAATAGCAAAAATATCATAGCATGATTACATACAGAACGGTGCATACCAGGTACCCCTTGAAATATTATAGAATTATATATTAGTAAATTATCAGTACATCCGTCAGAACTTGTACTTACAAGAATTGCCTTATAAATCTAATGCTAGTTAATCACTGAAGTTATATACCCATGTAATGGCACATAGAAGCAATATTGAATCCGAGGATGTTAAAAACAAAATATCAAACTTCAGTACTCAACCATAAGCAGCCATACCTTCACATAAATAGGCATGTAAAATCCAGGAAATAATGGTCTGTGTGGCAGGGGTAATGCTATAACCTGCACAAGTAACAGAAATCTCAATTATATATCTTTAAAAATAAGATGGAACAACAAATACCAGCTAATCTCTAACATAATCTAATGATTTTCATCCTTTCTAATAAATAATTCAATAACAGAAAATCTGGTACAGTTGAAGACAGTTGCTCTTGTTTGGGAATAGGTTATAATTCGTATAAATAATAACTGGACAGAATTGAGTCGTTGACAAATGTGTAGTACTTGTAGGTCCTACAAAATGTGTGAATACAAAGTAGGTTTGACCAATTAAAGTAGGTTTGACCAATTATTTTAAAAATTAAAAAGGTGCCAAACAAATGTTTGGAAGGATAAAATTTCACAATGATGACCAGTAAACCAATCTCAGTTTCTGCTGATCAGACTAAAAGAATTGTGCATAAATTCAGCTAGAAGGATTACAAGAAATACTTAGTTGTTACAGTGCATCTTTCAAACATTAAGCGATGGATCATAACTCCAATTGCTAAGGAAAATGTCCACTGCTCAAGTAAGTCGCCTAGTTTTATAATCCTATCGAGGTCAAGGCATCAACTCGTCTAGTTATATAATTCTATCAAGGTCAAGGCATCATAATAAATTCTTTCCCACCCCTCAAAAATACGATCATCCCAACCCCTCACTATAAATTATTCTCCCAAAACTTGGCAATCGAACAATAACAACCTTCAATTGACACCCCAAAATAATAAAGAAAGAAAAAGATAAACTTTTATTCAACAAATAACTAATAGGGCCTCTCCCTCTCCTCCCCAAGCCTTGCACTTTCCATCAACATGAACCAAATTTAAACATCCATTCCTCTGTTACCTTTGTGTATGTGTGTGTGTGTGAGAGAGAGAGAGAGAGATTGGACTTCCATGTCTTCCTACGATACCTAGCTTCCAATGGAAGACAATCCTCACATCCCAACATATTGATTTACATAGACCACATAAACAAAATATCTAATTTCATCTGATAAGCTCATTTTGTTTCTTTCCCATATATGTGCTTGATTGGCAATGCAGGGGAAGCAAATGGAAGAAATTAAGAAATAATTACTTACAAAAGTAAAAGAAAGCCTCACCATGAATTTGATATGCAGACCATAAACTAACAGGCTTGTGCATGTAATACAAATAGTGCATTCTAACATAACAAATCCACTAAGTTCTCTCACATATATTTTGCACGAGACCAAACTCTCCATTAGTTAAGACAAACTTGCATAAAAAAATTCCATTTTGAACTTTTTCAGTACTTCCAGTGCAAAAATGCTCCAGCATACAAGAAAATGATTTAAGAGGTACCATAACCGAGTTAAGTATCTGCGAAACTGAATTTCATTTTCAAATCCTGCCTCATCAACAAACATAATCAAGATTTACCCAAGAATGAAGATTAATTATTAGACTAACGAAAATATAGAATATTTTGAAAATTTATACATAAACCCACCCATTCATGTAGACTATGTATAACTATAATTCATAAGAACTAACCGTTAAATAATCTTCAGGTCTAAATACAGTGGGGACAATAGCTGATGAAGACTTAGATTCGGCCACTTCGCCATCAACCTCTCTGACCTTGGAACCAGTTTCCGCCGGGTTTGACCCATCAGAGGAGTTGGAGCAGAAGAATCGGCGGTAAAAATACGGGCTTTTTCTATTTGTTCCTCCGAGGGAGTTCAGGAGCCGAAGAATTGGAGAGGCGTCCTCGGAGGTGGGCCCAGGTCGGAGTTGTGACCCAAACGACGTAGCTGCCTGGAACCGGTGTGTGGAGGTGAGGACTTTCAACATGAGAAATTGTTACAAATGGAAAGGCTTTATGTTCAATATGAGTTTAAGGGTTAGGTTTTGATTTAGCGGAAGGGGTGAACCGCCATTGATGGAGGATAAACAAGCTTTGTGCTTGGGGAAGAAGAAGCAGAGTTTTATTGACTTTTCATTTTTCAATTAAAACCCTGCATAAACCCTCGGGTTTAGCTCTTTGTCGAAAATACCCTTGTCATGCATTTTCTTTTCATTAAAATTTTCAAAGCGATTCTACTAATATGATTTAAAATTAAAACCATAGGTCTTGCAATCTTTCAATATATTTCAATTATCTTGTAACTATTCAATTTTTGCATCAAATAAAAAAATTCTTCTCGAAAACTCTGTGTTTGGAGAGCTACTCGTCATCCCTTGGGCCTTCTTTGATATCAGAGCCATAAGAGTTTAAGTTGAGATTAGAGTAATTATATTGTTTTAGGTACAGTGTCAAAGGTGAAGCTGGTGTTAGCCCGGATGTCTATTGAATAATGTTGGTCAGCAGTAAAGCAGGGTTAGGCATTGGTGGTCTCGTTGTAGGCTTGGTAAAGCGTCAACCAATCCTGCAGCATTGTGCCTACAATGGTATATCATTTTAATTTTATTTTATTCAATTATGTCTTTTTATGTCAAGCTAATTTAGTAAAGATAGTGGTTCAAAAGATAGAAGTGATAGTTTTTCATATTTTTCAAAATGATAAAGAAGAATTGAGTCAAGATTATGCAACGGCATCAATGAATTCATTCAATTCTCACGAGTTTTAAATTGCTCAAATATAACAAAAACTTTGTAATAGAACTATTCCAAGTGTAGATAAAAAATCTATCCGTGAAATAAGAAATTTTGATTTTCATCAAGACTACGTTATCAAAACTCATGAGCAAACTATTGCTATCAAAAATCAAATTGTTCATATAAATTTATTTTCAAAAGATACTATTCAAAACCATATGAAGAAATTTAAATATCTTCATGTGGGGCTTATTTAAATTGTTGTTAAACCGTTGTTTCGATTTGGTTTAGATATTGCAATTTTCTTAACTCATCAAAATAATAGACTTCTCAAATTTGAACATTCCAAAGTTTTTGGCAAGAAAATGGGCACATTTCAAAGTCTTTAGCAAGAAAATTGCTAAATCAAAATCTATTCAAAGTACCCATGTTAATAAGAAAACATGGAAAACTCCTAGTCAAATTTTCAATCTGAACATCTTTCTATGCAAGAAATTGTTGTTTCTCATGGAAACACTAAATTATTGCATCTCCTCTCAAAAAACTTCCTGATTTAACTCTAAGATTAGATGATTCTAACCCAACAGTTAAAGATGTCAAAAATATTATGTTTCATAACAATTGTACTAATATTGTTTTTCAATCTGTTTGTTCTTGATTATCTAGAATTGAGACTAATTCCAAATCTGATGCTTCTTCATCCAAAAAGGAAGGAAAGAAGCCTCTAGAGTCGAATATTATGGAGTCAAATCTTATTTTCAAACCTACTGATTAAAAATTTTCTCCAAAATTAAAAGGTAATACTTTTTCTTTTGAATTGGGGCATTTTACAAGAACTCGTAAATCAAATTTCAAAACTTGAAACTTCGAAGAATATCATCACCATTGATAATCTTGAATCTCAATTTATTGAAGACAAGCATTCTCAATTCAATAAATTAAGAGGTCAACGTTCAAAATTTCCAACTTATTACTCTCGTCCCTCTTATCCTGATATGTATGAGGAAAAGGGAAAACCTCATAAAACATATCCTGATGAAGACGTCATCGAATGGAATATAATTGGTCTTAACGAATTTCAAATTATTCGAACAATTGAAAACATGGCAATATGCTATAATGCATATATTAGTTGTGATGTTCCTCCTTATACTGCTTACATCAGTTTAATTACTGGTTTTACCGGACAAATTAAATTCTGGTGAAACAATTATCTTACTGATGAAGATAGATCAAAAGTTCATAATGTCATCAATGAACAACGTCAAAATGATAGTTTCAATACTTTAATAATATTAAAGCATTTCATTGGTATTCCAACTCTTCTCTGAGAAAGGTCATCTAAGGTTAAATCTTAGCTGCCTAAAACTTCATGATTTCCGTTGGTATAAGGACATGTTCCTTACAAAAGTTCTTATCCGTGATTATTGTAATCAATTTTTTTTGAAAAAACTCTTTACTAAACGAGTTAGGAATTCTATTAAACTCAAATATAATGATTCAATTCCTTATACTGTGTTAACTTATGGCGAAATTATTAATTTTGTTAATCAAGAAGGTTTAGCATTGTGCAATGATCTTAAACTCAAAACCAAATTGAAAGCAAAAAGATCTGATAGTCGCAAAAAACTAAGATTGTTCTCTGAATAATATATGAATTTGAAAGACATAGAAATCCTAGTTTTCCTTGATCGAAAAGGAGAAAATGTATGTGCATTTGAAGGACACCCTAATGAAAATCTCAGCATGTCCATTAAAGGAAAGAATAGCCTAATGCTGTGACTAACTTTTTTCAGTAACCAGCTCTGCCTACGCTGGCATGTGTTCCTTCCCTACTTATTGGGATGTTTTCGTGTTTCCCTCGTCTGCAAGTGCCTTTCTTACTAACTTTGTTTACAATTTGTTGCGTTTTTTATATCGCAAGTGTATGATATCGTAATAAGCAGCATAGTGGATCATTGAGTCCGAATATCGTTCACACGAAGACCATACTTCAGAACTTAATCTAATTTTTTCTAACTCCTATTTGATAAAAGAAAGTAAAATATTTATGATGATTGTGATTATTTTTTCCTAACTATTTTTGACTAATTGAAAATATAAAAAAATTATAAACAATTGATGATTGAGAATTCAAATATGCGATGAATATTAGGACATAACAATTTCATCTATTGATCACCTTAATTCTTAATTCAAGATTCACAACCTAATGTAGTGTTCGATCGAATTCTTCTATTGTATTCAATTTACACCTCTCGAGTTCTCATTGAGCCTATTTAACTAATAAAAATTATTACAAACAATGAATAATTGAAAATTCAAATATGTGATGAATATTAGGGAATAACAATTTCATATATTGATCACATTAATTCTTAATTCAAGATTCATAACCTAATGTAGTGTTCGATCAAATTCTTCTATTGTATTCAATTTACCTCTCTTGAATTCTCATTGAGCATATTTAACTAATTAAATTTCATATATCTATGTGAATCAACTTTAGTTAAACGAAACAATAGTTCTAAAATTTCATATTACGGCTGCAATAATTAACATATGTATCTCTACACGTTATACTAATTTACTGAATTTTATTATATGGTCTAAATTAAAAATTCACTTCCTGATTCGTAAGAGACTCGCATAATTATCAAATTATTGATCAGGTAATTTAATGTATTAAATTCATAATAAAACCAATGAAGATTCAAATATGTGATGAATATATGACATAATAATTTCATCAATTGATCACATTTATTCTTAATTCAAGATTCATAACCTAATGCAGTGTTCGATCAAATTCTTCTATTGTATTCAATTTACCTCTCTTGAATTCTCACTGAGCCTATTTAACTAATTAAATTTCATATATCCATGCAAATCAACTTTAGTTAAACGAAACAATAGTTCTAAGATTTCATATTACGGCTGCAATAATTAACATATGTATCTCTACACATTATACTAATTTACTGAATTTTATTATATGGTCTAAATTAAAAATTCACTTTCCGATTCGTAAGAGACTCTCATAATTATCAAATTATTGATCAGGTAATTTAATGTATTAAATTCATAATAAAACTAACACATGAATAAATAAATCACATAAATCTTGAATAAAAAAAAATAAATGATCATAAGTAGACCAAATTATTTTCAATCATATAAAAATTAGTTATTCATATTATAAAAATAAAGACGCACAAATCACGTATTAATTAGTTAAATGCCACGTATTAATTCGATCATCCACTTAAGCGAGAGAAGAAACGATATTCGTCCAGTGACTGAGTAGTGCAAAAGTCTAAAGTTGAGCGACCAGTGGGAATCATTTTAAAGTTCAGTGAGTAAATCGTGACATTAGTCAAAGTTGGGTAGGGCCAATCAAACATTTAACTCCACATTAAAATATAAACATTGCTTTCACATCTTGCAACAACATAGAGCATTGCCTAGAAGCCTCTGAAGAATTTCTTGAAAGAAAATTAACAATGCGTCGGACCGCGAGAGCCATCTCCGCGCTGCTCCGCCCTATTTTACCTACTCCACCCACTCCCTCTCTGAACTAAGCCAAGACTGTCACAAACAACGCGCAAACACACACAAAAAGCCTTGTCATAGAACCTCCCAGAAGACAAAAAATGGTACAGACAAAGTAATATACGTTGCTTGCACGTTCTCTCTAAAAGTTCAACGGAAATTGTTCAGATACAAAAGGCGGGGTTCTTATTCTTCTTCCGTTTCAAATTTTATTGTTCCTTGTTCAATTCGTCTGTTTGTTAACGTATTTCGTTCACTTCGTTGTTAAGCATAGATATAAATAAAGGAGAAGAGGGTCACGAAAAGGGGAAAAGGTACGCGGATTGTTCAGTTTCTTTTGTTCCCTCATTAAATGCCTCATTGAAGAGCCTTTTTCTTCTTTTTTATGTATATGATAAGGGTTATGCATTTTTCTTTGTTCTGGAATATGGGCTTTGATCAGTGATTACTTTTTGATGAATGTTATGCCTTTTAATTGATTGTACTGTACTTTTCTTAAGCGTATTTTGGTGGGCTTTTTTGTTTGATTTTCTCTGAATTTTATTCTTCCTGATTTGCATTTGGATGATTGTTCAGATCTCTTTGCAGCTGGTGATTGGGAATACGGGAAAAATAAGAAGAGTTTAAAAGGTATGATTTCACTGGATTTTTGTTTGATGTTGCTATTTTTCTGTTGTTAATTGTATTTTTAGAAATATTTACTTATGCTTGATGGATTGAAGAGAGTAAAATGTTGGAAACGTAGATTGTTCAATGCTTATTATTTAGCGAACTCAGATTCTTGTTCTTAAATTGACAAAGAAACATTCAAGAAAGTGGTTAAGAGTTTTTGGTTGAATTTCATTCAATGTGCAGCTTGTTTGAAGAAACTATTTAGCCTCACCAGGAAGTTATTAAAGATTCAAACAGTGCTTTCTTGGTTTTTTGACATAGACATTGACAACATTCTTTTGAAAACATATTTGGTTATGTGTTAGTAATTTTGTTTTTCTTTTACTGTTTCAAAATTGTACATGTGTTCTTCATCAGTAGCATATGGCAGAAGAAGAAACTGAAAGCACACACTTTTATGAATTGAAAAGAGATGAAATTTATGGTTTCCAGCTGCTTTTGCAACCATTTGAATTTTACATATATTTAAAAATTTCAAATTGTTGAGTTAGCTGCATTTGTCTAGATTCTATTCATATTTTCAAAATGTATCCTATCAAAGAAAATTAATTATGAATATTTTAATCCTTTTCTCTGGTACTACAATTTATCAACTAAATATTTTAAATGTAGGTTTTCATTCTCCTCAATTTGTTGATTTCTATTACTTTATGTTATGGTGAAATAATCAACCCCTAGTGAGCTGAAAAACTAAAATTTGAGGTATGGGGAGAAGGAAAAAGTGGAGTTCATTATCTGGAAAGCGAAAATTGAGTACCTTCTGGAAATAGTGTTCTACTGAAGTGGTCCTTTCTTGTAATGAATTGCCAGTTTAGCGTGTGTCGTAATTATTACTGATATTTTCTTTCTGTTGCAGGGCTTTAAAAGTTTCTGGCCTTCTACGCTTTTATGGCTGCAGAAAATATTGATTTGGGGATAATTCCAGAAACAAATGAATTCGACAGAGAGTATGCTGGCAAGGGCTCTTTCAGAAATTCAGGTTCCTTAAATAATGGTTGCAGTACCAATTCTGATCGCCGTAGAACATCCATGGGCTTGTATCGTGCTGGAGACTATTCAACAAGGAACTCTTCTGGAAACCTGGATTCTTCAAATAATAGCCAACATGGATTTCCTCATTATCTGAGAGCTTCAACTGGTTCTTGCCATGATTTCTGCAATTATGGTAGAAAACATGCATTTGAAGAGAAGGCGAGGCACCCTTTTCTGAAGAGAATGACAAAAGCTGAGTCAATCAAACAGAATCCTGTGAAGACGACAGTTCCAGCTGAGATAAATAAGGTATGCTTATCTCCAAAATATAAATAGGTTTTTCAGATTAATCTAGTTAGCCAAAAAGAAGTTGTAGACATGGTAAAAGAAAGAGCAAAAAATTATTAACGAGACATTTTCTGCATGAGGATGCCTTNAACGAGACATTTTCTGCATGAGGATGCCTTTCCCATTCTAGTAATTAATCTTCATCACCAAGAAAAGAAATTGTTTCACTATAATCAACCCAGAAATCAGAGCAATAATCCTCTCTAAGAAATTTAGTCTCCTGCTTTTTAAAGATACATACTAATTCATTACTTAAAAAAATGATATTTTCCTTCTTGGCAAACCTAACCTCTAAAGGTCGTTTCGAAATCCGCACAATAAACATGTTTTGCCATGTTTCAGCCAACCCGAATTCCTTCATTACCCATACCCTTCAATCGGCTCCAAAGCCATGAGATGTAACAACGAGAGCAATAAACTCCCCGTAAACCATAAGACCTGGAAGATTAAAGCATTCAAGGGGCTGTTTATAAGGTGGTAATTTCACCTGTTGAAATGTTTCTGTTCGAGTATCAAATGAACAGATAAACTTATTCCCAACCCCAGATTCGAGGATGGACCAATCGTTGATACATCTATCAACAATTGAGGGGATACATGACTTCGTGTAACGGAGGAACTTCTGCATCAATGAGCCTTTTTCAAGACCTTGCTTTCAAACTAAATACTTTATCTTGACATTGTTTCATGTCAAGAGTACTAAAAGCTTGCAAAATTCTTAACAACTTATAATCGTTGTTTATATTGGCATACCAAAATCAGATACTAAATTGGAGTTTGTCACTAGAATCATATAAAATATTGAAACTAGTGCTCTTAATGCATTTAAATTTCTCAAGAATTGGATTCCACAAATATAATATTCGACCATAATATTTTAGCTTACTATTAGTATAGTAAACGATGTCATTGTACGAACCAATTGGTTCACATAAGAAGAAATCACAGGGTGCAGGCCACTCCACTAGTCCTCTTTGAAGCCAACCATAATGTCATAAATACTTTGCAACCCATGATTCGGGCCACTGGCATGTGGAGAACATAATTTCTATCATCATCATCATCATCCATGCTTCTTACCATACATCGACTGAGATGAGTAGCAATAAAAATAGGAGATTTAATGAAATTGTAATACGATTTGTTTACAATAGTAAAATGCCTCCACAGATTTTTGGTTGCAGTCATGAAACAACTTCATATATTACCCATTCTGGAAAATATCAATTGGTATTCTGAGCCATTAAGGAAAACATATTAAACAACAAATAGGTATTAAGAAATTTATAATTTCTGTTTTAGTTTTTGTTCTCACACAATAACTGCAATCTACACAAACCAAAAGATGTACATAAAATACAAGTTGTTTCCACCAGAATTCAGTATTTTGTTTCCACCAGATCTCAGTATATAAAATAGTCATCATGAGAATAATCTATGGTGAAAGGATATGTTGTTTCCTCCAGAATTCAGTACTTCGTCCGTCTCGCTATTCGTCCCGTTTAAAGTTAATTTTAAATTTAAGGTTTTTATCAAACAAAAATAATAGAATTATCATATTTTTAAAGAGAACATAAGTTGTTTCTAACAAATTGGTAAAAAAATAATAATATTTAGTTATTTACTAAGTAAAGACATTAAAAAAATAAAAGCAAAAAATAAATAAATAAAAAATAAAAAGAAAAAATAAACAGGTATGAGGATGGGGTAAGGTATCAAAAATATCCGATGGGATGGGAACGGTCAACCCGTCTCATTCTCACCCTGTTGTCATCCCTATATATGAAGTTGTTTCATGGCTGCCCCGAAAATCTGTGGGGGCGTTTTACTACTGAAAACAAATCTTGTTACAATTTTATTAAATTTCCTGTTTTTATTGCTACACATCTCAATTGATGTATGACAAGAAACATGGAAGATGATAGCAAAAATAATGTTCTCCACATATCAAGCGGCCCAAATCATTTCATGGGTTGCAAAATATTTGTGACATTATGGTTGACTTCAAAGTGGAATATCAAGTGGAGTGGCGTGCACCTCGTGATTTCTTCTTATCTGAACCAATTGGTTTGTGTAATGACATCATTTACTTTACTAATGGTAAGCTTGAATATTAGGATCGAGTATTATATTTATGGAATCCAATTCTTGGAAATTTAAATGCATTAAGAGCACTAGTTTCAATATTTTATATGATTCTAGTGACAAACTTTAGTTTATTATCGAATTTTGGTACAATAATATAAACAACGATTATAAGTTGCTAAAAATTTTTGCAAGCTTTTAGTACTCTTGACATGAAATAATATCAAGTTGAAAGTATTTAGTTTGAAAGTAAGGTCTTGAAAAATGCTCATTGATGGAGAAGTTCATTTGTCACACACAGTCACATATCCCCTCAGATGTTGATAGACATATCAAGTAGTTGGTTCATCATCGAGTATGGGGTTGAGAATGAGTTTATCTGTTCATGTGATATTCGAACAGAAACATTTCAACAGGTGAAGTTGCCACCTTATAAAGAGCAACTTGAAAGCTTTAATCTTTCAGGTTCTTGCTCTCGTTGTTGCATCTCATGGCTTTGGGGTTGATTGGAGGGTATGGGTAATGAAGGAATTCGAGCTGGCTGAAACATGTCAAATGATGTTCATTGTGCGAACTTCGAAACGACATTTAGAGGTTATGTTTGCAAAGTAGGAAAATATCATTTTTTTGAGTAATGAATTTAAACTAGTAATGTAACTTTAAGAAGCAGCAAACTAGATTTTTTAGAGATGATTATTACTATGATTTCTGGGTTGATTATAGTGAAACAATTTTTTTCTTGGTAATGATGATGAATTACTAGAATGAAGAAGACATTTCCATGCAGAAAAGGTCTGGCTAATAATTTTTTACTCTTTATTATACCATGTTTACAACAACCTTTTGGCTAATCTGTAAAACCTATTTATATTTGCCCAAACACTTGTATCTTCCTCCATTAGAAGATCATATGATCTTCTACAATAATTTTTATATTAGCTACTCTAACCCCTCGCATCATATTTATTTTAAAAAAATAAAATTAATTAGGTTACATCACAGTACATGGCGATGAACTTGGACTCAGTTTGAAGATTAACAAATTGTTCTCTCTCTTGACCTCTAATATAGAAAAAAATGGAAGACTCAATTGTTCTTTGTTCCATGTCTACACTCTAGTCTCTTCAAGTGACCAAAAAGATATAAAAGAGACAATTCAAAAGAAAAGATAAAAAAGAGCTGGTCGCAGCAAGTTTTTATAAAGAAATTTGGATACAATTAAAACGGTTTTGATAAAGAAGTAAATTTCTATGTAATGCTAATATATAACAAAATAGTTTTGTACATTAGTAAAAACGTGTGTTGGGAATTGGGACCCTTTTTTAGTTTACAAGTAAAAGAAAGGAACAAATTTATAATATATATGATGCGGACATCATTGATACTTATTTTTTATTGTTATTAGGCCTTACCGTTTATGTTTTCTATTTTTATTGTTATTGTTATTGAGCTTGTAGTGGGTTGGTTCAAACCGATCACTTAGCTAGGTTTTTACTATTTATATGGTTAGACATTATAATTTAGACAATTAATGATTTGATGAAAATTAAGATTGGCGGCTGTCACGATTTCTCTTTTTCCTTCACGTCTCTTTCTTCCCTGCGGCTTCCTCTCGTAGCTTTAATGGAAATCATTTAGAGAATGTCTTCACATTCATAGAGACTATCATGACCTTTACATTAGAAGAAAGTGATAATATTCCTCTAGATTTGATTGTCCTTTTGGATAGTGTTCAAAATAAACACGGGGAGGGTTCTCCTATTAAATTTGGTGTGGTGAAAAGACTTTTTGAGAAGTGTGCTGACATGATCAAGCCTTACTTGTCATGAGCTGTAAAATATGTAAGAATTTGTTTAAATGATTATAGTGCAGTTCTTTCCTCCATTGTCACAGGAGTCGAGAGTTGTGAACAGCGTATTGTGTCCTCTATCGTGATTGCATTTGTAATCGATACATGTAATTTTGACATAATTGAGAAGTTACCTAAAGCAATACTATCAAAGATGGGCATTTCAGATGTCCTAGGTCTCATGCCTACTAGGTTACATGACTTTCATATTGAATTTGTCTTAGTTTTTCCTCAATTACATGAGATTTCATGGGTTGCCACATTATTTTCTAAGACCATTACCTGATTGCACATTCTTCCTATCGATATTAGGATGTTGCCCCATAATTATCAACATGCTTTGTTAGTTAATCATCCCGTTGACAATGTTCTTAAATTTCATGCTAAATTAAGAGATCAAATCATTTTCAATCAAGAAATTTTTGAACTTATTTTCGAGGTGGAATATATGTTAGAGTACCATATTGTAAATTATTATACTTTATTGTGCGTTTCTCTTATCCGTTTTCCAAAAAACGTGAAGAAAAAGTTTTTGGAAAATTCACACAAAGATTTTCGATTTGACTGGCCATTTCGCTTCAATGAAAGTTATATTTTCAATATAGAAGAATTGTTTACTAATTGGGGCCCATTCGAGCCCTCGATGTTACGATCATTTTTCTCTACACGCCAGTCTGCGATGTTAGCTTCTCATGCTCCTCATTATGCACAACCAAATGAAATATTGTTTGTTATTCGGAGTTCAGTATTGATACTTGATTAGATGGAGATATAGTTCCCCTTTGGGCGGATCATATTTTTGGGAATAAGCTGCAGTTTTCGTTACTATCAAACATATTTTGGTTCTTCAGAAAGATCATCCACCGCGGTAGAAGTTTATCCACTCGACATGGTCTTGTTCTCTCCCACTCCAGAAGAGTTGATGCGGATATCATTGAGACTTAATTTTTATTGTTATTAGTCTTTATCATTTATGTTTTCTATCTTTATTGTTATTGAGTTTGTAGTAGGGGTTTGGTCCAAATCCATCACTTAGCTAGATTTTTGCTATTTATGTGGTTTGACTTTTCCTTCACATCTCTTTCTTCCCTACGGCTTCCTCTTCTGCTGCTGTTGCTGTTTCTTCCTCCTCTGTTCTTCTGTTTTCTTCTAACTTTTTGGTTTAAGTTTCAATTGATCCTACATCAATATACCTTTTATAATAGCTTTTTTTCTTTCTTATAAAAAAGGGTTTATTATAACAGCATAATTAATAATTATAATAGCTTTGTTGGTTTAAGCACTAGTGATTCCAATTACATGAAACAAGGGAAAATAAGTTTGTTTTCATTTTATCTATAATATATTAAATATCGCATCAAGTGAGAATCATTTTCTGGACAATTTTAGTCCTACTACAATTTAATTATTTCAATAGTATTCTACCTTTTATTTTTCAATATATATTTAATTGAATATTAATTATTAAACATGCATGCAAATAAATAATTGAATTGTATGAGTCTATGAGAACAATCAAATTGATTCATGAACATGAAATTTAATTAATTTGAATCAATGAATATAAAAAAAGAATAATTTATATACATTTAAACAAATGGGGTGTAAGTGAACTAACATAAAATTTAAT